TTGAACTGCTTGTTAAGCACGTGCTCTACCACATGAGCCATATCACCATCCTTTTTTTTGCTTTGGTCATTTTTGAGATAGGGTCTCATTTTATGCCTGGGCAGGCCTGGACCATGATACCCTATTTGTGCTTCCCTATCTAGCTGGAATGATAGGTATGTACCACCATGCCCAGTGTTGAGATGGGATCTCACAAACTTTTTGCCTGGGCTGGTCTCAGACCACAGTCCTCCTAGTCTCAGTCTTCCAAGTAGCTAGGATTACAGGCTTGAACCACTGTACTTGGCTATGTTTTAGTTTTTTATTTTTTTGGCAGTACCAGGGTTTGAACTGAGGGCCCCATGATTGCTAGGCAGGCACTCTACTTGAGCCAAACTCCTCCAGCCCTGTGTTTTGATTTTTAAACTACATGAACATCTTGCTACATTGCTTAGTTTAAAATTTGAACACACCGTGAAATGTGAAACTAATAATAAAGGGCATCTCCAGCTAGAGCCAATTGTTTCTGTTTATTAATTCACGTCCTGTGTTGCCAGGCCTTCCTGTTTTTCTCACAAGAAGATGGAAGTCCACATTTTTATTTTATTTTTATTGTTGATAGTTATTTTTGAAAGATTGCAAACATGTACCAGGTGTGGGTGGCTTACACCTGTAAATCCTAGCTACTCAGGATGTAGAGATCAGGATTTCGGTTCGAAGCCAGTCCTGGCAAATAGTTCACAAGCCCCCATCTCGAAAAAAAAAAAAAAATCACAAAAATGTGCTGTTGGAGTGACTCAAGTTGTAGACCCTGAGTTCAAGCCCCAGTACCGCAAAAAAAAAAGATTGCAAGCATGCTATAGCACCAAGCAAAGCCATATCAACCAGTAGGATTTGGCTCCCTGGCTCCCAGGTGTGACTTGCACTTTCTTCCCATTGTGGACTTGACAGGGCAGGGCTGTGGGCTTCAGCTTGTTGTTGCACCTCTACTGGCTACCCAGCTGCATGGCACACTCCAGATACTGAATAAGCATTGAGCGAATGAAGGAATGAGAGTCATAGTTCAGGGAGCAAAAAGTCAAGTAAGTTTTGATGACTTATTTTTTCTAAAATGTTTGGGATGAGGGAGGGAAGGAAAAGGTTGGTGGGTCAATAATTTGAAAGATATGGAAAAATTTTTGAAATAGTTGCTGCAGATAGCTTGAGCTGTCAACTAAAAAAGAGTGTTGCCAGGCAGTGTTGCATGTACTGTTGAACATATCACTACTTTTTTTCCTCTAATGAGGAAATCATCATTTCTAACTTCATTACACTCCTGGGATTTCCCCTACCTCTCTCTTGTGAGTTGGAGAAGTTTGATGCCACCTAGGCCTCTCCTTTGTCTATGACCTGGTGTTGGTTGGTTGGTTGGTTTTGTTTGTGTCTGGAAGTCTTTGCATTTTCCAGTGTCATGAACTGATAATATGGCTTCCTGTTGGTCATTCCATAGGTCCTTTAATTTATCTTGTTCTGTAAAGTTTTTCTTGATCATTTATTTCTCCTTTTTTTCCTTCTCTTTCTGAAACTCTTTTTCATGGATCTTACTGATTTATACAGCTTTTTCTGCTTCTACCAAATGCCTTTTATCAGTTTTTCTGGTTTTAACTCTGGTTTTTTTTTTTTTTTTTTGGGGGGTGGGATTGAGCTTTGAACTTAGGGCTTTGTACTTGCAAAGCAGGCACCTTACCACTTGAACCATACCTCATGCTGAGCCACCAGCACCTGGCAACTCTGTGGGGTTTTGCAGTATTGGGACTTGAACTGAGAGCCTACACTCTACCAGCCACTTTTTTGTGAAGGGTTTTTTACGAGATAGGGTCTCACAAACTGTTTCCCCAGGCTGGCTTCGAACCTCGATCCTCCTAATCTCTGCCTCCCAAGTAGCTAGGATTGTAGGCGTGAGCCCCCAGCAACTCTGTGGTTCTTGTGAGGGACTTTGTTTAAGTGTTTGGTCATCTTTGTCTGCCTGCTCTCATTTGGAAGGTCCAAGTTCATGGGCAGGCTATATTGATTGGTGGGACCTCACTGATGAGCGACTGAGGGAAGTCTGAAATAAGACTGTCAAGAGGTCTTTTCTCTGGGTCTTGTTCAGTTTTTTCAGAGAGAAATCAGACAGTGTCTGGCCCTGGAGAGTTCACTCCTAGTCACTAACTGTGAGGGCTGATTGGGAAAAGAGGTTGGTTTGACATGTAACTTCCTCTTAATCCTTGTGTTCAGTGCAGTGCCTCATCCCCACCTTCTTTTGTACCAGTTGTCCTTATATCCTGATCCCCACAAGATAGAGATAAGCAAAGAAACATGAATAGAGTTAAGAACAGCACTCTAGCCTATGGCCGAGAAGATGTTGGTAGGACCAACCAGAATTTGTTTTTTATTTTTTGGCAGTACTGGCATTTGAACTCAGGGCCTCATGCTTGCTAGACAGATGCTCTACCACTTGAGCCACTCTGCTAGCCCAAGAGTTTGTTTTTTAAATGCATAAGTTTTTTTCTGACTTCATGGGATCTCTAGTCCATAAATTTCTCTGACTACCAATTCCCTCTTAGGCTTCCTGACTTCCTTTCATGTTCCCTTGTTTTAACCACTCCTTTTCCAGTGTTCTCCATTCCCTGGCCCTGCTGTCCTTCCACCAAATCCACCCAGCAGAGCCCCAGTCCAGCTGGCCTGTCTTTCTCTTCCCAAATATGCCAGGTCTACTGCATTCCACTAGTCAAAACCACACAATCTTTCAAACTGGTATCACTGTAAGTTTGTGCTGTCTGCACTCCTTCCAGTTAAACATAGCAGATTAGCTGCATGTTTGCCACCATTCCTTCCAATTCCATTAAAATTACATCAGCAGAATTTTAAATCTAGAAAAATAAAGCAAATGAGAAAAGAGACTAAAGGTGAGAGCTGTCAGTAGCTGTAGACAATAGGAAGCAGAGAAGTGGTAACTGGTTTAGCTAACAGCAGAAACTCAAAGCTGGTCCATCTGCAGAGACCCAATGAGAAACAGGCTAGTTCTCAGGAAGCCTCAAAAGACTCAGGAATGAAAGCCCTAGCTCTCTTGGAAGACAGGAGGGGGAAACATTTGAAAACACAGAGAGCCTTGCATGAAGCAACAGAGCATGATAGTTAGGGGCTTCAGAGTCTGCACATCTGTGTCCAAGTCCCGCTTAGCCATGTACTGACTGTGGGACCTGGATAAGTACATAGTATCTCTGAAACTCAGTTTCCCTCTTTAGGGAAAACTGAGTGAGTAGTAAGTTTACCTTGAACAGGTGTGAAGGTTAGCATAGTGCATTTTAAGTGCAGAGGGTAGCATATGGTAAGTGCTAAAATGGGACCTTTTTCTTGCTCTTTCTTCTTTGCGGTGATGGGAGTGGAACCCAGGGCCTTGTACATGCTAGGCAAGTGCTCTGCTACTGAGCTACACCCCCCAGCTTACGGGCCTATTTTATTAGCCTTTTAGCATCTAAGCTCCATGGCTGCCATGTTAGAAAGCTGGCAGGAGTGCTATGAAAGGACAGGACTTATTCCCATCTCTGTTCTTGAGGCCTGGACTGATGCTCTGATTTCCCCAAACTCAGTCTACTTAGGAAATGTCTATGGGTCCAGCCATGAGACATTCAGGGTCAGCACCCAGCCATGTCTTGGGCTGTCACTGTTGCATATACCTCTGTGTCCTCTGGGAGTAGGGGAGGGGCTTTCCTAGTCGCAGTTTGGAAAGCACAGGATCATGCTTGTGCAACAAATTTCTCCTTCAACATAATTTCCTTTCCTTTCTGCTCTACAAGAGGGTTTCAGAAACCAGAACAGAGTCTGGTATGGTGACACACACCTCATCTCAGCACTCAGGAGGCTGAGGCAGGAGAATCCTGAGTTAGAGGCCAGCCTGGGCAACATAGAGAGACCCTATCTCAGGAAAAGGAAAAAACATGGCCAGGAGATGTGGCTCAAGTGGCAAAATACCTGTCTAGCCCCAAGTTCAAACCACAATACTGCCAATCAGACTCTAGTGGCTCACATCTATAATCCTAGCTACTCAGGAGGCAGAGTTCAGGTGATTGCAGTTTGAAGCCAGCCCAGGGCAAATGAGACCCTGTCTTGGAAAAAAAAAGTCCATCACAAAGTACTGATGGAGTGGCTCAAGCAGTAAGAGAACCTGCCTAGCAAGTGTGAGGCCCTGAGTTTATACCCCTGTGCCACTTAAAACAAAAAACAACAAAAAAAAGGAAAAATAAAACAAAACAAAAAATCCAGGATAGTTCTGAAAAGCCTTGGAGTTGGGATGCAAAAGGGATTGGCCTCCAGGGCCTGCCTCAGCTATTCTACCTCCATGTCTCAGACACCAGTCCTCAGTCCACACCCTCTGTCCTTGTCTCTCTCCAGCATCGCCTGTGCCCTCACTCTGGACTCTTAGATTCATGGTAGGAATCTTCTCTTTTATGTGGCCCTCTGTTTCCCTCAACCCTGAGGATAATGTGCCACCTGTTTTTGCCTTTCTTCTTGTTCCTCCCTTCTGTCAGCTAATGATTATTCAGGAAACTTAATCTGCTGTCCCTGTCCAAAAGTGAAAGTTCTCTTTAGGGTAAGCGTCATGAGAATTATGCCATGGCCATGTGATTGCTGTTTTTATGTCACTTTCTCTGCTGTCCAACAGATAGCAGGACTAACCTGCTATTCTGAAAAGTTCATTGTGTACCTTGCCACCAGCTTACCTGAACAGAGACCTGAGCAGAAAGGTAAGCTTTGTGTCTCTACCTTAGGTGGACAGTGGCCACTAATTGCATCTGCTTAGCTTTAATCGCCTTTTTCTCTCCCACCTCTTCTCACTGGCTTTTTCCCTTGGATGCTGTCACTTGCCCTAATCTATGCACTGAACGTTGGGACTGAGCTGTAGGACTCAGGGTCTCGCACTATTACAAGGTGGAGAGTCTTGTTGGTTGTGTACAGGTAGGGTGCACAGAATGAGTAAGAAATGACTCCTCTTCTCGCAGATTTTATCCTGATGGCTGATTCAGAACCACTGCCTACTCTGGATGGGGACCCCATGGCTATGGAGGCGTTGCTCCAGGATGTGTTTGGGATTGTTGTAGATGAGGCCATTCGGAAAGGGACTGATGCCTCTGAGAAGGTGGGTCCTTTCCCCTTCCTTCTCCTGCTCATCAAACCTTCCCTTCTTTTCTCTTTCTTAACCTTGGCTCAGAGCTTCACTCCTTTAATGAGGCTTTGCCCCAGATTCATCGTTGTCCCTTGTATCTCTCAGGAATTGGAATGCTGCATCTTAACATTGTTTATTTACACTGTTCATCTGCATTTTGAAAACATGAATTGTTTTAAGTGCAGACTGGGGATTTCTTTTGTCTGTTGAGCTGTGGTAGGGGCAGCCAGTCCCTAGGGTCTAAGGTGCCTGCATCCTGACTTCCCCTGCTAGGTCTGTGAGTGGAGGGAGCCTAGGGAACTCAAGCAGCTACTGGATTTGGAGTTGCGGAGGCAGGGCGAGTCGCATGAGCAGATCCTGGAGCGCTGCCGGACTGTGATTCACTACAGCGTCAAGACCGGTAAGCCTTGGCTCTGGAGGGAGGATCTCTGGCATTTGCACCCACCTGCACACTGAGCCCCCTGCCCCATCCCCCTTCTCCAGGTCACCCCCGGTTCTTCAACCAGCTCTTCTCAGGGTTGGATCCCCATGCTCTGGCCGGGCGCATTATCACTGAGAGCCTCAACACCAGCCAGTGAGCCATCCTAGGGCCCCTCCCTCCATCCCACAAAGGACTTAGGTTTGCTGGGGAAGCGCCTTAGGAGTAGGAGAGGAGAATGGTTTCTGCCCCTCTCTGCTGTTTGCTGGGAATGCCAGTTGGCAAAGTGGCTTCCCTTCTGTCCATTGGTCTTCTGTTCTCCAAGCTTTCTCATGCCTCCTGACCCATTTTTTCTCGTCTGTGTCTCCTTGATTCTTTGTCATCAACCTGATCCTCTCTTGGAACCCTTTGCCGTTTTGCCACTTCTCTCTGATTCCTCTAGTTTAAGAGCCTGGCCTGGCAGTGCTCCCACCTCTGCCTTTCTCATTGATGCTTTCTTGGCAGGTATACGTATGAGATCGCCCCCGTGTTTGTACTTATGGAAGAGGAGGTGCTGAAGAAACTCCGGTCCCTGGTGGGCTGGAGCTCTGGGGATGGGGTCTTCTGCCCTGGTATGTGAGAGTGTGGGGGGAGCGGCACTTTTTTAGATCTTTGTAAGGGTTTCTCCTCCCCCACCATTCTCTTGCTCTAAGCAGTTGGGGAGAAGCTGATTTCTGTGTTTCCTTTCCAGCTGTGCTGGGGCCAGAACTGGGAGGAGTCTGCCCAGTCCCCTTTTTCCTGGTGTTTGCCAACAGCCCATAGGATCAGTGCTCTAGTGCCTACTCTGTGTGTGTGTAGAGGGAGGGTAGCGTCTCCTGGGGGCAGCCCAGGGTGTGGAGGAGGTGGGCAGGAGGATTTACTGATCCTGGGGCTATTCTGGGTCCTTGTACCATCCCGTACAGCCTTGGGAATTAGTGGTCTGGGAACCACCTGCTACTTTGATCAGTTCTTTTGGTTGGAAAGGTGATGGGAAGCAAGCTCCAGTCTTGACATACCATCTTCTCCCTCTTGCTGCCACCCCCTCCCTGTGACAGGTGGCTCCATCTCCAACATGTATGCTATGAACCTGGCCCGCTATCAGCGCTACCCAGACTGCAAGCAGAGGGGCCTCCGGGCACTGCCCCCCTTGGCTCTTTTCACATCAAAGGAGGTGGGAAAGAGGCACAGGTCCAACCCTGGGATCCTGATTCTAATCTGCAACTGCTGCAATCAGAGACACTTTAGTCTTCTTTCTGTCATACCCTGTCCCCAAGTGGATATGCTCCTTCCAGTCAAGGAGGCCAAGTATACGCTCATGTTCATTTGCCTTCTGCTTGGAGATCAGGCAGGGGCAACAAGTGCAATTGACACAGCCTACTCTTTTATACTCTGAGGGTGATCCATGGACCAGCAGCACTGATATCATCTGGGAGCTTATTAGAAGTCCACAATCTCAGCCCCACCCAGACCTACTGAACTTGGATCTTTGTTTTAACCACACACCCAGACATTTCCTCCACGTGAACATCTGAGAAGCCTGGCCTTCAGTGTCCAGTCTATTGCAGCTCATACTTGACTTTTCTCAGACTCTATCTTCCCCATTCTCCTTGACTTCTGGCCTCTAGCCCAGGTCACTAACCTGCCCTCTGCATTCCTCCACAGTGTCACTACTCCATCAACAAGGGAGCTGCTTTTCTGGGACTTGGCACTGACAGTGTCCGAGTGGTCAAGGCTGATGAGAGGTGAAGGTCCTTCTGCCGACATGGCCCTGACCCAGCTTGGCACAGTATGCCATCTTGCTGCCAGAAAGCTTTGGCCTTAGGCCTGTACACCTGGTGCACTTCTCTCCCCTTTCGGTTCTGCAGATTTGCACTTCTGCCTCTCAGTGCCTGCCAGAACCCCCCATCCTATTCCCTGAGGTCTCTTTGATCTCTCTTAGGCAAAAATCAGCATCATGGTCTCTGCATTGCTAACCCTCCCTTACTGTGTTTCCAACAGGGTAATGCCTTCTGGCCTAGAGCACCTGCAGCTTTTTTACTCACTCAGTTTTCTTTTTCAGAGGGAAAATGATCCCTGAGGATCTGGAGAGACAGATCAGTCTGGCTGAGGCTGAGGTGAGTAAGTGGGGAGTACCCGAGGTGGTGAAGCAGGGTCCCTCTGTCACCCTTGTAGAGGGTTATTTGGGCTCTCTCTGCTCCAGGCACCCCTTACGCCTCTTCTCTATCTCCATGACTGTCTTGCAATGGACTAAGCCTGAGGAGTGAGAGAACACTGCATCATGTTAGGGACTCTGTCAACACGACATGTAGGCAGGGGGGAATTCTAAGTCACTGAGGGCCTCCCAGGCAGCCCTGAAGGGAGGGCATTAGGGCCAAAATTTAGTGTGGAAGGTTTCTGTGAGCTAGGGAGTCAGTGCAGGGAGATGCTGAGGAGGATGTACAGGCAGCAATGTCCAGTGCATGCTATGTGTGGAAGGTGAGGATGCCAGCACTTGTCTCTGCTCAGAGGTATGTAAACTGTTGCAGCCATCTGGGAGGGTGTTTTGGCGCTATCTATACAATTTTTAATGTATCTATCTACTAATTCAGAGTTCCACTGCTCAGAATTTGTGCTATGAATCATCACAAGTGCATAGAATTCTGTGCATGAGAACATTTCCTGGAACAAAATACAAAATTAAAAAAAATTAATATCCATTGGTAGATAAAATAAATTATTGTATATCTGTATGTTTCAGTTTCTTCCTATGGAAAATGGACGTATTATAGGCTGGGCATGGTGGTACGTATCTATAATCCTGGCTACTCAGGAGGCAAAAGCAGAAGGATAAAGAGTTCGAGGCTAGCCCAGGCAAAGTTTTCCAGACCCTGTCTCAAAAACAAAAGGGCTGGGGGATAGCTCAAGTGGCAAGCTCAAGGTCCTAGATCCAATCCTCAGTATTACAAGGAAAAAAAAAAAAAAGACGTACCTTAAAACTTACCACATAGGGTTGTTGTAAGGATTAAGTGAACTTGGAGGTAAAGCACGTAAAACGGTGCCTGGCCTATAGATGCACTGTGTAAACATTAGCTGCTGTGTGCTATTGCCATATCATTATCAGTGTTATTATTATTGAGACAGGTTCTTGTTGTGCATTCCAGGTGACCTTAAACTCACTGCGTAGCCCAAATTGACCTCAAACCCGTGATTGTGATTCTCCTGCCTTAACCTCCCAAGCACTAGGATTATAGTTGTGTGCCATTACCCCCATTGATATTGATACGATTATTATTATTGTGTTATGTTGCCATTTGAGAGAAAAGGGTTGGAGTAAAGCTATACTAACAGGAAAATACTTCCACTATGTATGTTAAATGTATATTATAAGTTGCGCTATAGAGTGAACATGGTAAGCCTGTTTTTGTTGTTTAGAACTGTATATTATTGATACATGGCTGTTACCCTTGAGTGACAGTATAAGCAGCAATTAGAATAGTGGAGTTCCATCTTTTTACTTTTCTTTTTCTATTTTTTGGGGGCTTGAACACAGGGCCTCACTCTTGTTAGGCAGGTGCTTTACCTCTTGAGCCACTCTGCCAGCCCTTTTTTGTGTTGTATATTTTATGAGATAGGGTCTCTCAAACTATTTGCCTGAGCTGGCTTCAAACTGAGATTCTCCTGATGTCTGCCTCCTGAGTAGCTGGGATTACAGACATGAGCCACTGGTGTCAGGCAATTTCTACTTTTTATTCTATAAACTGTTTTTGGTAATATCTTTTAAGATATAATTCATATAACAAACAAATCACCCCCTTAAAATGTACATTTTACAGAGTTGTGTAATCATCACTACCATTAATGTTAGGACATTTTCTCACCCCAAAAAGAAATCCTGTACCTTTTAGCCTTTACTCTCCAGTTCTCTCAAACCTTCCAGTTCTACTGGAATAACCCAGTAATCTACTTAGCCCTGGACTCAGGGCTTTACACTTGCAAAGCAGCACTCACAAAGCAGACACTCTACCTTTTGAGCCACACCTCCAGTCCATTTTGCTCTGGTTATTTTGGAGATGGGGGTCTTCATGAAGACTGTTTGCCGGGCTGGCCTAAACCTCCATTCTTCTGCTCTCAGCCTAGGATTACGGGCATGAGCCACTGGTGCCCAGCTTGTGACGAGCTTTCTCTGCTTAGCATAATGTCTTTCAAGGTTCATCCATCTTGTCGCACGCAACAGTGCTTTATTCCTTTTTAGGCAGAGTAACGTTCCAGTGTATGGATACTCCACATTTTATCTATCCATTTGTCAGTTGATGGACATTTGAGTAGTTTCTACTTTTTGACTCTCTTGAATAATGCTGCCTCAAACAGGCTTTTGTGTGAACTGATTTTCATTTCTCTTGTTATGTACTTGGGTGTGGAATTACAGGGTCATTTGGTAGCTCTGTATTGAACCTTTGAGGAATTGCTGAACTGTTTTCAAACCACCAGTTTACAATCCCAGCAGTGTATGATGATCCGGTTTGTCCACCTACTCACCAACACTTGCATTAGCTCTTTTTGATTATAGCCACTCAGTGACTGTGAAGTGATCTCTCATTGTGGTATTGATTTACATTTCCTTGATGATCAATGATGTTGAGAATCTTCTCATGCTTATTGGGCATTTGTATATTGTCTTTGGAGAAGACTATTCAGATTTTTTGCTGATTTTATTCATAGAGCATTTATTCCAATAAGGAAGACTGGCATTCATAAATACATGTAAAGCAACTGCATATGTGCTGTGAAGGTGAGGTACATGGTACCCTAGGTAGAATACAGGAGAGAGTACTGAATCAGGAGATGAGGGAGTCAGGGAAGGCTTCTCTCTGAAGTGCTAGTTGAGACTTAAAGGGAGAAAAGGAATTAACTAGGTTGTGGGTATTATGGATGAACACTTGTGCAGAGACCATGGCTGGGTCTGGAATTGAAGATGTGGAGCTTAGACAGCCTCCTCTCTGCCTGTGATGTTTCTACTCCCCACCTGTAGCCTTCTTCATCTAGGGGGACTTGCACTGGCCTCCACCCCCCACTTTTCCAATCATCAGGAGACATTTGGAAGTGTGTGGAGCTGTTTCATTTTGCTTTGTTTTATGATGATGCTTTCTGCATTACTATAGCCATTGAGTGGGATCCAGGGGACTTTGGATTGGATATGGTTTGAGTGTGTCCCCCAAGGGCTCATGTGTTGAAATTTAATCTCTATATATCTACCACATTTTGCTTATCCATTCATCTATCAGTGGACATTTGGGTTGCTTCCATGTTTTAGCTCTTGTGAATAATGGTGCTATGAACACTGATTTTTAAGACCCTGTGTATTATCTAAGTCCATTTTTTTTTAGTTACTGTAATGAAATGCTTAAAGCTGGGTAAATTTTAAAGAGGTTTCTTTTGGCTTACAGTTCTAGTCCAAGGCACCAGTCTAGTCTGGTGATGGCTTCTTGCTGGCAAGGCGCCGTGGCAGTGCAGGGCATCACATGGCGAGAGACAGGGAATGCCCACATTTCTTCTGATCTCTCTCCCTCTTATAAGGCCACCAGGATTCAGTCAATCGTGGGGCTCCACGTGATGACTTTATTAAGCTTAATCACCTTCCAAAGGCCTCCCCAATGTCATAGTCAGATTAAGTTTCCATCATCTTAATTCCTTTCAATAGGGATTAAATTTCAACACATGAACCCCTGGGGACACACTCAAACTGTATCCAGCCATAGCCCCCTACTTTTCACTTTGAGGGGACATATATCCAGAAGCAGAACTGCTGGAGCATATGATACTTTGGTTTTATTCTGTTTTTAATTTTCTTGAGGAATTGCCATATGTGAGTTTTCTATAGCAGCTGTGCCATTTTTACATTCCAACCAGCTGTGTGCCCGGGGTTCCAGTTTCTCTACATCCTCTCCCACACTTTTTTTTTTTTTTTTCTGGTGCTGGAGTTTGAATCCAGGGTTTTGCCCATGCTTGACAAGCACTGAGCTACATCCCCAGTCCTCATTTTTCTTTTGTTTTATTTTGAGACACAGTCTTGATATGCAGCCAAAACTCGGAATCCTCAATGTTTCAGCCTCCTGAATGCTTGGATTACAGGCATGTCCCACTATGCCCAGCTCTAACACTTGCTATTTTCTGTTATTTTGATAGCATCTATCCTAGTGGGTATGAAATGGTATTCCATTGTAGTTTTGAACTGCATTTTCCTAGTGATGTTGAGTACTGTCTCATTTGTTTATTAGCCATTTGTATTTCTCCTCTTCCTTCTCCCTTCCTCCTTCCTTCTGCTCCTCTCCCTCTTCCTCTTTACTTTGTCTTTTTTTTTTTTTGAAACAGTGTTGCTGTGGCACCTGGGTGTTCTCAAGCACAGAGTCCTGCCTCAGCTGCCCAAGTGCTAAGCTTACAGGCGTGAATCACCATGCCCAGCTTGCATGTCTTCTTTGAAGAAAAGGCTGTCAGATACTTGCAGTGTTTTCAAATTAGGCTGTCTTTTTGTTTTTGAGTTCTTTATATGTTCTAAGTATGGGTCCCTTACCAGATTTTGCAGAGCATTTCTTCTGTTCTGTAGATTGTCCTTTCACTTCCCTGATTGTGTTACTTGAAGTACAAAAGTTTGAAATTTTCATGAAGTCCAGTTTGTCTATGTTGTCTTTAGTTGCTTGTGCTTTTGTTGTCATATAGAACCTATTACTCCTATTTTCTTTTGGGAGTTTTGTAATTTTATTTCTTACACTTAGGTATTTTTTTTATTTTGTGTATGTGTGTGTGGTGTGTGTGTTACTGGGGGGTTGAACTCAGGGCTGGGCAGGTGCGTTACCACTTGAGCCACATCACTGACCCTGTGTTTTTTTGCTTTAGTTACTTTTGAATTTAGGCTCTCGCTTCATGCCTTGGCTGGCCTGGACTATGATCCTCCTATGTATGTGTCTCGTGTAGCTGGATGACAAACACGTGCCACAGTTGCCAAGCTACTATGGGTTGAGATGGGGTCTCATGGACTTTTTGCCAAGGATGGCCTGGAACCGTGATCCTCCTAGTCTCCACCTCCTGAGTAGTTAGAATTACAGGAATGAGATCCTATGCCACATCAGGTCTTTGGTCTTTTATGAGTTGATTTTTGGGTGTGATGTGAGGAAGTCATTCAGTTTTGTTCTTTTGTTTGTGGATATCCAGTTGTCCTAGCAGTTTGTTGAAAACACCACTCTTCAATAATTGTATTGATATCCTTGTTGAAAATCTGTTGGCTGGGCTAGGATTTAACTCATAGTAGAATACTTTGAGTTTTGAAAATAAATTTTTTCATCAGTAAAGCCATCTGGGCCTGGGTTTTTCTTTGTGATAGTTTTTTAATTACTAGTTCAATGTTGATATAAACTTTTGTAGAATTTGAATTTTTTCCAGTAGTATTTGGGCCTTCTAGTAAGACTTAATTTTTTAAAAAGAGTATGAGCTTTGGCTAGTTAGAACTAGGTTTGAATTCCATCTCTGCTTGGATGACTGAATCTTTTATAGAGGACACTAGTGCAGTGTTGTTGGATTGAAATGGGCCAGGTCAGGCATGCAGAGAGCTGAGAGCCAGGCCCCAGAACAAGGTTCTGGGTGGCTTTTGAGGTGACGCTGCAACTTCTTTCTTCTACATTTTGGCTACAGGGTTCTGTGCCATTCCTGGTCAGTGCCACCTCTGGTACCACTGTGCTGGGGGCCTTTGACCCACTGGATGCAATTGCTGATGTATGCCAGCGTCATGGAATGTGGTTCCACGTGGATGTGAGTGAGACATAGGCCTGGGCTGGGGAGTACTGAGCCAAGGCCAAGGCCCACACTGTTCCTCCTGCTCCACAGGCCGCCTGGGGTGGGAGTGTCCTGCTGTCACAGACACACAAGCATCTCCTGGATGGGATCCAGAGGTGCATATGGCCCCCTTCTTCCTAAGTCCCATGCCAAAACCTTTTTGACTATTGAGTCACAGAGTAGAGAGCTTAGGATGGGGAGGGGGCAGGAGGTGAGTGGGATAGGGACTAGAAAGATGGTTGATTGGGGCTGGGAGATCATGGGTTGACTGGGACATGGGAATTCTTCCCAACTGCTGGGATGGCAAGCCCCTCCACTGGGAGGTCTGGCAGGGGAGGAGTACCCAGACTGGGCAGCCTGAGGAACTCCTAACCTGACTTTGCTCTGTCTCACTAGGGCTGACTCCGTGGCCTGGAACCCACATAAGCTCCTTGCTGCAGGGCTGCAGTGTTCTGCTCTTCTTCTCCGGGACACCTCGGTGGTTCTGCCCTGCCCCCTCACCCTAGTCCATTCCTCCCTCTGAGTCATGTCCTCTTCACAGTTCCACCTTGGAAGGGGTCCAGGCCTTGTTTTGTTTTGGAGGGACTGAAGTTTGAACTCAGGGATTTGCACTTGCAAAGTAGATGCTCTATCTCTTGAGCCACACCTCCAGCCTGAGTCCAGCCCTTACAGTGTTTCCCTACCATCCACCTGAAACTGAATATCTATAACCACCCTGACCCCTGTACTGGGCTCCTTCACTCCCTCAGTGGCCCATCTTCATGAAAAGGAAAAGGTTTCCAACTTAAAATTGCTGTCAGAGGGATCCTGGGCAGAGTTTGGACTTGGGGCCTCACACTTGCTGAGCAGGCTTTCTACCACTTGAGCCACTCTGCCAGCCCTTTTTATGTTGGATATTTATGAGATAGGGTCTATAGAACTGTTTGCCCTGGCTGGCTTCAAACTGTGATCCTCCTGATCTCTGCCTCCTGATTAACTAGGATTACAGGTGTGAGCCACTGGTGCCTGGCTCTGGGCAGAATTTGAGAAGCGCTCTGGGTATTTGGAGAAACCTAGAGAAAGGCCGAGTCAGCTGGCAACCACCCTACAGTGCTGCTTGGTGCCAGGGAACAGAAAGGGTGGACTGGGCTAAGGAGCTCCTGTCCCATCGCAGCCCTAGAGAAAAGCCAGCTCTGACAGCCCCCTCCCCACACAGAACCTGCTCAAGCGCTGCCATGGGTTCCAGGCCAGCTACCTCTTCCAGCAGGACAAGTTCTATGATGTGACTCTGGACACAGGAGACAAGGTGGTGCAGTGTGGCCGCCGTGTGGACTGTCTGAAGCTGTGGCTCATGTGGAAGGCACAGGGCGGGCAAGGGCTGGAGCGGCGAATAGACCAAGCCTTTGCCCTCACCCGGTAGGTGTGAGGGTCCCGGGCCCCCTCCCAGATTCCACCCCTCCCTCTTCTGATCTTAGGGGTTCCTTCGTATTGTCTCTGTGGCTCTCTACTGTTACCGTGTTTCTGCCTTTCCTCCTCCATCTGCGATCTTTCACCCCGTGTCCAGGTACCTGGTGGAGGAAATAAAGACGCGAGAAGGGTTTGAGTTGGTCATGGAGGTAGGATGCTGTGCTCTTTTTCATCCCTCTGCCCCAGCCTATCCCCACATCAAGTCTGATGGAAGAAGGGGGGCAGGAAGGGGGAAAATGGCCCCCTTTCTCAGCTCCTGCCTTTCCTTCCTCCTTCACCTTAGCCTGAGTTTGTCAATGTGTGTTTCTGGTTCGTGCCCCCCAGCCTGCGGGGAAAGCAAGAGAGGCCAGATTACAAGGAAAGGCTGTCTCAGGTAGGCTTTCCCTTCCTGGCTCTGGGTAACCCAGTTCAGTGAATGAGCAGCTGATAACTTTCTGCCCCCTGCTGGCTCTACTTGGCATGGCAGGTCTCTGTCCTGATGTCTTGCTCCTGAGCTGAGCAACATGTCAACTGGAAAATAACACCAGCTTGTCCTCTTTTCTTGTGGGGGCAGGGATGGGGAGCAAGGTATGTTTCTTGGAAGTAAGAAGGAAGTGGGGAGTTTACAGGAGAAGTCACTAGTCTATAGCACATAAACCCTGCGCTGGATACTTAGGCCCAACACAGATGTGAGACAGAAAGATCAGGAAGAGCTTTGTCACTAATGCTGAGAACAGAGCAACCTGGAAAGGCCAGTCCTGATGTGCCTCCTAGAAGTGAGAAGATGTTATTTCCTGGTCCCAAAGGATGGGTTGGCACTAGGTGCTACAGATGATCTGGAAAGATAGGAGTATTCTTGCCCTCATAGAGGTGCTACCTGTTTGAAACCAATGTGTACAAGGTGGTTTTGTAAATTACATACTAGATCACATGGCATAGATAAAAAATGTTACAGGAATTAGGAGAGGGGAGAAGAAGATGTTCAGGAGGACTAAAGCTTAAAGTTAGACTGAAGCAGCCTTGGGAATCAGCAATGTGGGGATTTGGAAAAAGATGGTCCTTGCCCCAGCTTTCTTGGAAACAGGAGAGTTGAGGAATAAAGCAGAAGCAGAGAAGGCAAACAGGTTGAATATGGTGGAAAATGTAAACTGGAGCCAAAGACAAGGTCAGAGCAGTGCATGGTGCTTCTAGAAGGTGGCTGAATGGAGGGAGAGACAGCGCTGGCAGTGAGGTGGTCCAGGCAGCCAGCCCACGTCCTCACCTGACTTCAGGCTGCAGCTGGACTCTCTCCACCATCATCCCTACAGGTGGCCCCCATGCTCAAGGAGCGCATGGTAAAAGAGGGCTCCATGATGATTGGCTACCAGCCCCACGGGCCCCGGGCCAACTTCTTCCGTGTGATTGTGGCCAACCCCACTCTGACCCGTGCTGATATGGACTTCCTGCTCAACGAGCTAGAGCGGCTGGGCCAGGACCTGTAAGCTTCCACCTCATGCAGTCACCCTGGCCCCACCAATTCTCTCTACCATGTCTTCTGTGTTCTCAAAAAGCAACCTTTCTAGGAAACAAAGTGGTCTTAACCATGTCTATGTGCTTTGACTCACTAACTCTCCTAACCAAATAATTGCTATTAGGAAAATGTTTAAATAAACTATAACATATATAAATGATAAAATATCTTTTCATTAAAATTATGTTTACAAACTTAATTTTTATTAATATGAGAAAAATAATATAATGTTATATTGAAAAGCCTGGATATAAGATTTTTTTATGTAGTGATGTCTGAGTGATGATCAAGAATACATAGGAAAGGCTAATGAATGGAACTGTGCCAAAATGTTGCCGTTTTCCTGGGATGGGATAATAAGCACTTTCTAAATCGACTCCTTTATACCTTCTGTGCTTCCCTCTTCTATTATGTAGTGAATATGAATTACTTTTAAAGTAGAAAAATATTAAACTTAAATGTCAAGTGTATTATTTTGGTGTGTTTTGAAGTTTTTTTTAATCTTCTAACCAAATAATGGAGAACCTGATTTAAATAAACAAGAGACAAATAAGAAAGGCTAAATATAGGAATTTTTTTTTTCCTAAAAAAATCTTTAACAGGAAAGAAAAGCTCAAAAGTGGAATTACTCTCAAACTAATTGTAGTCTGGTGACATTGAAAACCAAATGGGCACTGATTTTGAGACTAGTGCATTGTCTACTTAACTTTTCTTTAAAAATCCTCACCAAACAAGCAAAAAACCAAAAACTCTTCTTCTGTAATTTAAACAACAGAAAGCAAGTTAAAAAGGAATAATAGAAAAAACAGGTATGGTGATGAGCATCACACTAGCAAGGCTGAGGCAGGAGGATCTCAAGTTCGAGGCTAGCTTGGCCTACATAGCAAGACTCATTCTTAAATAAGTAAATAATAACAATAGCAGTGACAAACTAGCAAGCAAAACAGGTGCTCCAGGATTGCTTACTGTTTTGCATAAAAACATTCATTTAAGGGTTGGGGATGTTGCTCAGTGATCAGGCATGTGCCTAGCATGCAAGAGATTCTGGGTTCACCCCAGCATTGCAACCCCTCCTACCAAACAGCAACAAAATAATCCCCCCATCCATTTAATATTGAAAATCCTGGCTGCATATTTCATCTCAGTTGCTTTTTGGGAAAGAGGAATTTAGCTACACAAGTCATTAAGGACAAGTGGTAGATTTACCAGAACTTTTTGTTATTTCCAATCCCTAAAAATATCACTTATGAAAACAGTAATGTGGTCATGTAAAAGTCATCCAAAGTTACTTGAAAAGGCAAATACAGACTGTCCAAACCATGGCAAAAGAACATCCAATTCTCAGACCCAACTTTCTCGATCATTTGAGGGGAAAAGCCTTTCTATTAATAAATTACTAGTGATTCTCCTATGAGCTTGTTAGTCTTGTTATAAATGGAATTTACTTTCTGCCAATAATAAAAATGTTTGAGAATATTGAGATGAACTGCAAGCCCTAATCTTAAAGGATTCTGTATATCTGCAAAATGTCTCAGATGTAGTCGAAACAAAACAAAAATCCTTATTTTCAATTCAGAGCAAAACCAGAATGCAAATACAAAAACAAAAGCTTCAAATTCCTTGAATCATCTCCATCTGAGAAATATTTTTAAGGAAAGGCCAGAAGAACAGGATGTAAAATCAGTTAATCACCTCTTTTTCTTCAACTTTGTAAAATTGGTGCTTCTTTTCCTGTTTCCAAAACTCAACCTCAAAATCTCAGCACTGTCCCCTCTCTTTGAGCCCTGATATATATATATATATATTATATATATATGTATAAATTTTTTCCCTACTATTGAAGAGCTGAAGAGTTAATCTCAGTTATTCTTCAATTGAGGCACATCCCAAGCCCAGAGACTTTGCACATGCAATCTCTTTTGCCTCAGTGTTCATCCACCTACATTATTGTCTTTAGATTTTTGTTCAGCTGTCACCCGCTCAGTGAAGCCTACTTTGACTATTTAAAATTACACTTGCATACCCTCTTATTGCATATGTAACTGGCCTGCCCTAATTTTGGTTTCACACTTTTAAATTTTCTGTCTAACCCAACTAGAATGCAAGCTCTCAGAGCTTGCCTCAAAAAATGGTGCTGGATACTAGGTGGATACTATGGCTGAGTGAATGGTACATAAGCTCCAGGTGTTAGTTGACCTGCTCTCAGTCATACATCTTTTAAGTGGTAGAACCAGAAACTAAACTCAGACTATCTTTCTCCAGCTCTTCATCATGGATCTAATCTGTTTCTGTTGACAGATACACATCATTCACAGGTGTGGGCATTAGGATTTTATTAATCATATGCTGTGGATCTGTGATTGTGGGAAAGCTGAGACCATTTGAAGATTAATCATCCACCTCACCAGGCACGGTGGTTCACATCTGTAATCCCAGAACTTGGGAGTTGGAAGTTGCTGCAGGAGGATCAAGAGTTTAAGACCAGCCTGACCTACATAGTGAGACCCAGTCTTGGGGTGAAGGGAGGAAACAAAAATCACCTATCTTATCCTTAGCCTGGGAAAATTGTTTTCCCATCAAACAGGAAAATGAAGATGTAAGTTGGAAACACCTGGGTGAGTCATCATGTTGGAATAGGAATTTTTGGTTTTAAAAAACAAGTCAGGGTGTTTGTAAGCATGTCACAAGGCCCATGGTCACAAAACAATACACACACACACACACACACACACACGCATGGTAATGCACACCTGTAATCCCAACGCTCAGGAGTTTGAAACAAGAGGATAACAAGTTCAGGGCCTGGCTTGGTTACACAGTGAGACCCTGTCTCAGAAGGAAGAAAGGGAGGGAGGGAAGGAGGGAAAGAAAAAAGTCCATATCCCAAAACTGTCAACTGTCCCAATTGCATTCTTTATTGTATTTTTACCTTCCAGTACAAGTTCCATGTATTGTATTTTTTATTGACACGTATTATATTGTACAAAGTAAGAAGTATGGGGCTCAAGGGTATTGCACTGTGTTGTAGTTTAAATTATTCCTTTAAAATAGTTCCTCAGATTTTGTTCATCGATTTGGTTTTTACTGGTATTTCCTCATGACTAGATTCAGTTTACACTTCTCTGGTATATGGTATATGACACAGTCATGTTGTATTCTTTCCATGGGAAGCACATCCCAAGGCCTACAATGTCCACCTCTCTTTTCTTTTCTCAACCAAGACAGTATCTCATTCCAGGCTGGCTTGAGCTCAAGATCCTCCTGCCGCAGCCTCTTGAATGCTGGGATTATAGAACTGTACTACCATGCCCAGCTCCATACATGAGTCTTGTCTGAGCCAACTTTTATTTTATTTTGGCATTACTGGGGTTTGAGCTCCAGGTCCTTGTACTTGGTAGGCAGGCATTCTACCACCTGAGCCATGCCACCAGCCTCAAGCCAGTTTTCACCATAATGGTTGCAAAATGATTTTCTTTTTTTGGGGTTTAGAACTAAGGGCCCCATGCTTAGCTAGGCAGGCACTCTACCACTTGAGCCACTTCACTAGCCCTGTTTTGTGTGGTGAGTGTTTTTGAGATAGGGTCTCTCAAATTATTTGCTTGGGCTGGCTTCGAATTGTGATCCTTCCGATCTCTGCCTCCTGAGTAGCTAGGATTATAGGTGTGAGCCACTGGCACCTGGCTGATTTCTTTTTAACAGAGAAAAATATTTAGAAACCACAATCAAGGCTCCAGGTGTGTTCATTGATATTAGTTATGTTCAGCACTTTAAAAATTTGAACTGGCATCCTTTTGAATCTTCTAACCCATCTTAGCTGTGTTAAAGGAAACAAAAGATCAGGGCTTTTAAAAGAGAGAAATGATGTTCCCCTGGGAACAGCTGAGGCACATTAGAGAGGTTGGATGATATAACCTGGGGCGGGGTATGTACAGAGTTGGGGTACTTGTTGACTCACCCCACTTTATTAGCAAGTTTTTAAAATGTTAAGTGTAGAAGCATGGAGGTTGAGTTTTGCACGAGATGACAATATTCTTAAAACCATTTATTTAGCGTTAGTTTTATAAATTTCGATAAATTACAGCTCTGGGAGTTGAAAGGCAAGCACAAGTGCTCATCTGGTGTAACCTTGGCCTTTAGGCAGTCTTTTAAACCTGGATTTTATAGATAAAACAGCTGAGACCGGGCAAAGCTAAGGTTCTTGATAGGGTCATGAAAGAGTCTCTGCTCTTTTTTTCTTTTTCTGTTTTTTTCTTTGTGTCTGTCACTTGAGTAAAAAAGGTATTTAAGTTTTTTAAACTTTGTTTTAAAAAATGTATTTTATTCTAAAGCAGAAAGCCATTCGCTTGTATTAGCCACCCTGCCTTTAATTTTATCCCCACCAGTGCAATCATTCTGTGCTTTCTTTACTGGACTGCTATTTTTGTGAGCTCTTGAGATCTAGTTTCCACATACTGGAGTGATTCAGTCAGTCTGATGGCCAAATTTTGAAGATATTCCCGGAGTTCATTTTTAGCAAATCCTCTGCTGCTGATATAACTAGCTTAACCATTTCCTTAATCTATAGCATGTTACTTTTAGTTTTTTTCTAATAACAATGTACGTTTTAAAGCTGACTCATATGTTTAAGTGTTTTTAATGTCACCTGAATTTGGTGGTGGTGCTGCTTTCCTCTGATAGTATAGAAAGACTTGAGGGTTATGTGCACCAGGTATTGACCTGGGATTTTTGGTGGGAAGACTTTAAACTACAAATTCAATTTATTTAATGGACAAGGCTAGTCAGGATTATTTCCTCTTGAGTAAACATTGGTAATTTTGTCTTTCAAAATTTTGACAGTTTTATCTAAATTGTGGGATTTATTGGCATAAACTTACTTCCTTACTATCTTTTTAGTATCTATAAAATCGGTAGTGTTGTCACCTTTCTCATGCCTGACATTGATGATTTGAGATTTCTCTCATTTTTAGTTAGTGACTTATTGCTGCTATGGTTAATTTTATGTGTCAACTCAAATGCTAATGATGCGCAGGTGTTTCTGGAAGAGATTAGCATGTCATTCGGAGGCTTATAAAGAAGACTCACCCTCACCAAGTGGGGGGTGCCATTCAGTTATTCAGGGCCAGATAAAGCACGAAGGCTTCCGAGAGCTGGACTCACTCTTGCTGGGACACCACCTTCTCCTGAGGCCCTTGACCCTTGAACTTATACCATTACCCCCTGCCCCAAATCTCAGGCCTTTGGCCTCACACTGAGACTCTTACCATTGGGTTGCTCTGGTTCCCATGTCTTCAAGCCCAGACTGACTTAGATCACTTCCTGATTTCCCAGCTTGCAGATAGCAAAGCATGGAAATTCTTGTTCTTAATAATTGTGTGGGTCAGTTCCCATAATAAATCTCCTCTCTATATCCACATATCTCTTACTAGTTTTGTTTCTCTGGGTAATACAAATGTAAGTAACCTCAGAGAGCCAGCTTTGATTTCACTGGGTCTCTTTATTGTTTCTGTTCATTGATTTCTAACATCACACTTAATTTTGAAAGTATGAAAGTCTTCTTTGGCTGGCAGAGTGACTGAAGCAGTAAGAGAGCCTGCCTAGCAAGCATGAGGCCCTGAGTTCAAACTCCAGTGCTGCCAAAAAAAAAAAATTTTCTCTTTAAGATCAGGAAGAAGATAAGGATGTCTACACCTTACTTTTGTTAACAGCGTTGCTGCAGTCTGTGATCAGAACTCCAAACTCTTCATATCCCACCAGAAAGAATTCATGGCAGGACACGTGGGTGTAAAGGCAGGTTGTTAAAAGTTAGGAAAGGGAAATACAAAGGGGAGCATGGTGGGCCCAGGTGGAGTCTGCTGGCCCAGAGAGTGTGTTTCTGCCCTTTAGGTGCTTTTAAAACCTATGATAACCTATGGGAAGGGGTGGACCAGGAGATTTGCATTCAATAATCCATGAGTGGGGAGGGGCTTGGGTGGGTCCTGACCAGGTGAGGGTGGTTTGGCCCATCCCTAGTCAACCTAAACTTTTTCTACTTCCATTCAACACTGAACTGAAGGTTCTATAGCCATGGCAATTAGGTAGGAAAATGTATATTGTATGTGGGGGAAAGGAAAAAAAGCAAAACTATCCCTTGTTACAGATATCATATGTAGATAATTCTAAAGAATCCACTAGAAAATGCCTAGAATTCCTACAAAGTTAAGCAAGCATGTAGGACATAAGATCAATATATGAACATAAATCATATTTGTATGCTTTAGCAATGAATACTCTAAAAATGAAGTCATTTTCATTTACAAAATCATCAAATAAAATTCTTCAGCATAAATTTAACAAAAGTGAAAAAATATATATCTCGAAAATGACAAAGCATTGAAGAAAGAAATTGAAGATGCAGCAAAATGCCGTAGTTCATGTCTGTAATGTTAGCTACTCAGGAGGTAGAGATTAGGAGAATCAAGATTTGAGGCAAGCCCAGGCAAAAAAAGTTAGTGAGACCCCATCTTAACAAAAAATCTTGGGAGTTGCTGGCTGGCAGTGGGGCTCAAGTGGTAGAGTGTCTACCTAGCAAGTGTAAGGCCCTGAGTTCAAACCCCAGTACCACCAAAAAAAAAAAAAAAAAAAAAGAAATTGAAGAATACATAAATAAATGAAAAGACATTCTGTGTTCATGGATCTATTCATCTAACACCAAGTGGTTTCTTTAAACATACTGACAAACTGATTCTAAATTCATACAGAATTTTTTTTTTTTCAGAACTGGGGTTTGAAATCAGGACCTGTACCTTGAGCCACTCCACCAGCCCTTTTTTGTAATAGGTTTTTTCGAGATAGGGTCTCAGGAACTATTTGCCAAGGCTGTCTTCAAACTGATCCTCCTGATCTCTGCCTCCTGAATAGCTAGCATCACAGGTATGAATCACCGGTGCCTGGCTCACACTTCCCAAATTTTGAAACTTACTACAAAGTTACAGTAATCAAGAAAATGTCAAGGACAGACAAATAGATCAATGGAATAGCACTGAGAATTCAAACATAAACTCTCATATTCTCAAATGATTTCAATGGGGATGCCAAACCAATTCATTGGAGAATGATCTTTTCAACAGATGGTGCTGGGACAACTGGATATCCACATACAAAAGAATGAAGTTGAATGCCTTTCTCACGCTATACCCCAACATAAACTCATAATCAATCGCAGACTTAAATGTAAGAGCTAAAATTATAAAACTCTTAGAAGAAAACATAGTAGTAAATTTTTATGAAATTGGGTTAGGTTAAGATGCATGGCTATAATCCCAGTTACTCAGGAGGCTGAGATGGGAAGTTCACAGGCAACTTAAACCCTATTTCAAAATAAAAAATGGACTGGTATGTAGCTTTGTGGGGGTATAGTGGTTACCTAGCATATATGAAACCCTGTGTTCAACCTCTAGTACAGACAAAAAGAAAAAAAAGGACACTTGCAAAAGTGAAGAGACAGTATAACAAACAGAAGAAAATATTTGCAAATCATATATCTGGTAAGGAACTCTACAACTCACTAATAATAAAAGCCCAATTTGAAAACTGGGCAAAGGATCTGAATAGATAGAAGTTGAACAAGATGCCCATCGGGAAATGCAAATCAAAACCACAATGAGAAGGCTTGATTTGGTGGTACACGCCTGTAATCCCAGCATTTGGCAGACTGAGGCAGGGGGATTGGAAGTTTTAGGCTAGTCTAGGCTCCATAGTAAGACCTTATCTCAAAAACAACAACAACAACAAAATTTCACAAGGAGATACCACTTCACACTCACTAACATGGCTATTATTAAAAAAAAGAGATAACAAAGTATTAGTGAGGCTGTGGAGAGCTGGCAAGGAGCTTTGTCACTGTTGCTGCATGGAAACCAGCTTTGGAGCCCCTGAGCCGAGGTCCAGGTCATGGAAGTACTGGGAGAGTGTGACTCAGCCTTGGCCCTGCAAAGATGTGGTTATTATAGCTGGTTCCCTGCCCGCTCTTCCAGAGACCACTGGAAGAGGTACTGAGGAATACAGCAACTTCAGACACCATAGGAGCACATAAAGGGATTCAAGTAGTGTGCAAAGACAAAACCAAACCAAACCAAACCTCCCACAACTTTCTGGAACTAAAAACATTATTTTCAACAACAACAACAAAACCAGTGTATGTATTGAAAGAGAGAGTGGTCACTGGCGAGACTCAAATTAGTGGCTTGGAAGAACAAGTGGAAAAAATATTTCAAAGCACGGAGCAAATAATATGAAGAGATGGAAATAATGAGGAAAATATGAGGTTTGGAGAATGGATTCGGTAGTCTTAACATTCCGATACGTTAGTTCCAAAAGGGAAAAAGGAATAGATGGAGGAAAGGCAAAAATAATAAGAATAAATATCTTGCTAACCTGAAGATCTGAGCTTGTAGATGGGAAGGGGACAGGAAGATACAACAAGGGCATTAAACTTGTGACTTCTGAGGTTTAAGAAAAACAGTCTCACGTTTCTAGTCAGGAAGAGCAAAGGGAAATGGACTAGGACTTGTCATCACAGCCTTGAACTGCTAAACGTGGAAGACTGATGGAAAAAGATAGTGACCCAGCTAAAAAAAGCATTCACCCATCAGGGCAAATGAAAGATATTTGGAGATCTGAGATTTGGTTATAGAATGGAGAAATCGAGATAGAAGAAACTGGAGAGGAGAAAGAACAACTAGTGAACAACTTGCTAATATTGCTTATATTAACAAATATGAATATTATACAGTTCAATATTAGTGGAGATTGACAGACCTCTAATTATATCTAGAGCTGGACACTGGTGACTCATGCCTGTAATCCTAGTTACTCAGGAGGCAGAAAGTTAGTCCTCTGCCTCCTCAAAAAGTTAGTCCCCCATCTCAACAAAAACAAGGCAGACATGGTGGCACAGGCCTGTCATCATGGTTACATGGGAGTCTAGTTAGGAGGATCGTGGTCCAGGCTAGCCCCAGCAAGAAGTGAAATCCTACCTGAAAAATAACCGCAAAACAAAAGGACTGGGGGTGGGGGGAGGGGTGTATGGCTCAAGCCAAAGATTGTTTGCATAGCAAGTGCAAAGCCCTGAATTTAAATCTTAGTACCACCAACATACAAACAAAAAGATGCCACATACACTGTTCAAATGTATAAAAAAAGAAAAAGTGCTCCATTTATCTCTTGGGAACCCTGCTTTTTGGCCCTCTCTCCTCCTGGTATTAATGTTCTCTTCTTTCCATACCCAGATGTCTCCCCAGAATCAGCTGGGGGAGAATCTCTGTGGGGAAGACAGAGACAGACAGGCTATAGAGTCTGCTTTCTGGAACCCTTCAGCCTGCGGACATTTTGACCTTTTGTCCCATGCAATCAGGACACTTCTAGTTTTAATGTTCATTTTATAGCTGTGGAAACTTGAGTCTCACGAAATGAAGAGTTGCCTCAGGTCTGTGCAGGAGGATCCTGCTCTGGCCTGCTGACAGAGGCTGCGTGCACTCTCAGAGCATGCTGGAGGAGGAGTAGAGGTGGAAAAGAGGCTCAGTCAGGGTTCAGGGAGACAGGGCGGCATTGAAAAGTGAGGCAGGTGAGGCAGGATGTCACCCTCTCCTGCCACAAAGTCTTGCCTCTGCAAACACAGCTCTTCAGTTGTGTTTGTCACAAAGTGCACCTTCAATCAAAGATGAATGAATGGACACACAAAAGACTAAAAAGGGAGACAAAGTCTTTATTGTTGTATTTGAAAGAGTAGAGCGGCAAGAGCCAAACCCTTCTCAAACTTTGGTGGCCCTGGGTCTTCTGAGTCTACCCCACGTTCACCAAATTGTTAAGGTCCCTCAAGTCTCCCCCAAGTCTGGGCAGCCATGGGTGTGACAGTAATCTGTGCTCAATCCATGGAAAGGATGCTCAAGAGTCACCCCCATGCTGAGTCTGTGCTCAGCTGCCCACAGGGCCCAAGCCTGAGTCCCTGCAGTCTTTGGTGAGTATTACGTGCAGGCCCCTGACTCAGAGCCAGGTGTGGGAGTGCAGCAAGGAGGTCCTGGGCATTACAGATGGAGAAGAGCCTGGTGGTATCATTGAGCAGTGCAGGTGCCATGACTTCTAGGGATGGCAGGACCAAGATCGAGGTGTCACCAGCCCCCAGAACGTAGTCTGTGCCCAAGAAGGGTGGATTGTAAGTGAGGTCACTTCTGATGACCCACATTGTGGATCCAAGACATAGGGGTACATTTCCCAAGCCAGGCCCTGCCCCCAACTATGGCTGTTGGATTGCAGCCCAACGCCGCTGGCTGTTGGTCATGGCCTCCCGGACAGGAAGCTGGGAAAGGATTAAGTTCCCTTACCTGGGACAGGGGACAGTGCCGCTGCGCATACCACTCCTGGCAGTACAGGCTGACCTGAATGCCCTGGCCCAGAAAGAGCAAGGTCCACAAAAGCACATTCCATGCTGGGCCCGTGTGCCGGTCGTTCATGGTGAAGTTCAGCAGCCCTAGTGCAGGAGAAAGGTTGTTCTGGTTCCAGATCTCTGTGCCTGTCTCCCTACTCCTGTCTTCCCTCCCATCCCAGGGTGCTGGGAAGTGATGGAACAGAAGCAGGAAGTCCCCACTGGGGAGATCTTGAACCCAGCTGTAGAAACTCCTGGAGGTATCAAGTATAAAACCAGGATTTTATACTGGAGGTATAAAACCAGGATTCCTCAGTGTACACCTGGGTCTCACACTGAACCTCCCAAACATGCTCCAGTTTTCCCGTTTCTCCCTCTGTGTCCCCTGCTCAAATGTTCCTCTCCAACCAGAAACCTTCCTCCATATCCCCCAAGATACCTCTTGCTGCCTCCCAATGCTACCCCTTCCCTGTTTCCAAGTCCCTTCCTACTCCACCCTTGGACTCAAGAGCCTCCCCAACAGTCTAGGATCCCCAGGAGCAGGACCTAGGCCTGCTCCCTCTGGATGACTCTCCTCCAGTGGCACAGAAGCCAAGCTCACCCCCAATGACAAGGAAGAGCATCAGCATGACGGGATAGAAGAACCCCAGGACGAAGCAAAAGATGTACTCATGTACCATTGCAGAGAGCAGGAACACACCCAGCATGGCTGCCCCTCGGGCCCGACCACCAAGGAGCTGGCAGGGGGACAGGGTGAGAAGTAAGGAGTGAATTTCCTGAGCCCCCACAAAGAGCCCCCTCCTTAAGGAAGCCAGGAGGAAGGGTCCTTCAAGGGAAAGAATATAGGCTCTGGGGTCAGAAGAGCCGCCACTAGTCTTATTTTTAAGAATGCTCTTAGTCAATTGGGCCTTAGATGTGATTTTAAAATGGGGATATAATGATGATTACTTCTGAGGATTGCTGTGCTGATTATAGGTATGTGAAAACCCTTGGCAACTGAAAATGTTACATGTATGTTCCTTCGAAGTTAAGAAGGAAGAAATACCTTATGGAAAGGTGAAATTAAAGATAAAGAAGGAGGTTAGATCATAAGGAGGACTTTCCACCCACTGGGTTGGGTAGAATGGGGATGGTTAAGTGAACCAGGCCCTTAGATCTGGACAAGGTGGGTGGTAGAGAGAGAAGGAGAGGGTGTCTTGGGGAGCCTCCATTCACGGCGGGAGTTGAGGGGGCTGCAGAGCCCCTACCCACAGCCCATCCTGATATGCGTAGCTGTACAGCCAGTCGTGGACCACCACGTTCCAAGTGCGGTAGTAATTGGAGAAGGACGTTGAATTCCACCAGTCCTGGGAGCGAACGGGGGTGGGCAGAAAAAGGAGGTGAGCCTCTCAGGCCCTGGCTTCTCCTGCTGCTCCCTCGGCTTACATCCTGCCCTTTAGTCTCCTAGCTAAACGGAGAGCAGCACCCTCTCATCTCCCTCTTCAGGCCACCCTTGCAGGAGAAGATTCTGAAGTTCATAGTATAAGCAGTTAGTCCGGTTGATCAGCAGTGGAGGGGTGATGTGATCCCACACCTAGAGGCGCACACTGCTCATCGTGGACACGGAAAGCACAGCTCAGTGACACCCAACATAGTCACTATCTCCCTGGAGTCCTCCCTCACCCTCCCTGCCTCCAGCTCCCAGCTGGCGGTGGTCCAGGCCGCACCCGGTAGAACATCCTGTCTCCAAACCGCAGCATCTCTGCAAAGGCATTTTGCCAGCAATGCAGGAAGGCGAAAAAGATGAGCAGCAGAATGAAGATGCCTGGCAGAGGGGACAAGAACAGTAGGTCAGATCAGCCTACCTGGAGTCCCTGGCAGTTCTGACCTGGGCTCTGACGAACCCCTACCCATCAACTAGGGCCCCAACTCTTATCAAGCATTCATTAGTCACTCACATATTCATGCATTCATTAACTCATTAATTCACTCAGGAGTATTTACTTGGCATTGACTCCATGCCAGTGTTGGGAATACAGAGATGAAGCATGAAATCCCTGGCCTTTGTGAGTTCAGAAGAGTTGGAGACACACACAGAAAAACGGACATGTCCAAACATGTATTAAGGACAAATGTGTGTGTGTGTGAGTGTGTGTGTGTGTGTGTGTGTGTGTGTGTGTTTGAGACAGGATCTCTGTAGCTCTGGCTGCCCTCGAACTCTCAATCCTCCTGCTTCAGCCTCCCAACTGCTGGGATTACAGCTGTGAACCTCCTCAGCCAGCATCAAGGTTAAATGTAATAGGAGCTAAGCATGGTGGCCAATGATGTCCTTGGGAGTGCAGAGCAAGGAGTGGGTCACCCTAATGGATGGGTGAAAAAGGAAGGCTTAACTGTGTCAGGTGATGCACCTCTAGTCCCAGTTACTGGGGAGGCCAAGTTGAAAGTATCACTTGAGCCAAGAAATTCAAGGGAAGCTTGGACAACACAGTTAGACCCTTGCACATCACACACACACACACAGCCAGGTGCTGGTGGCTTATGCCCATAATCCTAGCTACTCAAGAGGCAGAACTCAGGAGATTTGTGGTTCAGGGCCAGCCTGGGCAAAAAGCGAGACCCTATCTCAAAAAATACCCAACCCAAAAAAAGGGCTGGCAGAGTGGCTCAAGTGGTAGTGCGCCTGCCTAGCAAGTGTGAGGTCCTGAGTTCAAACAGCCAAAAGAAAAAAAAAAAAAGGAGGAGGAAGTCCTTTTAGAGAGGAGGCAACTGTCTTAGCCATGGGCCTCCAAGAAGGAACTCAGTTCCATAGCTGGAAAATGGGCAAAGGGCATTCTGAGCTGAGGGACCAGTATGAGTCAAGCCCCACAGGTACGAGTACACATCTTCCAAGGATGACTGGTAGGATGGGAAGATGGACTGGGGTTATGTGGGAATGAGCCTTGAACAGCAGACCAAGGGTTGAAATCTCTGGACATGCTAGCAATGGGTAATCACTCAGGGTTTGGAAGAGGGGTTGGGAACAAGTAGGGAAGCTCACCTGTGCAATAGAGTCAGGGACAGAAGGGAGAGGAAAGAGAACTTTGGTAGGGAGCTAGCTTAGGAAGCAGAGCTGAGATGGTAGCAATGAGCACAGACAGGCAGGGACAGATATGCAAGGCAAATCAGAGGGAGATGCTGATAGTGAAGGCAGGTAGAGAGCAAAGCCTTCCCTGATAAACCTTTCCTAGGGGAGGTGCAGCCTTTTCCTGCCATCTTGGAGGGCTTACCGGGCAGCGTGGCATGCAGGATCGAGAGCACCAGGGCTCGGGTGCTGAAGGGTTCCCGGCTCATGTTGGCAAAGACAGGGATACAGAGACGGCCCAGGATGAAGCAGGCGTAGAGCACACAGCCCAGGGCCTGCAGATGCAGTGGAGAACATGCAATGATGAGAGGAGTGATGGCAGCTGGCTGCTTACTCTGGAATTGCATTCTGGCCAGCCTCTGCCTCCTCCCCAGGCCTCCCCCACTGAATGACCAGGAATGCCCCAGCCATCATGAGTCACGGCCAGCTACCCTCTACCATCTTCTGACCTGGGCGAAGTTCTTGGCCACATAATTCCACCTGATGCTGGGTGTCCTGCAGCAGCAATGGAGATAATACGATTGTCATCCTTTTATGTCGTTCTCTGCTCAGGCCTGTGGCCTTCCATCTGCATTCCCCTCAATTGCTCTGGTCTGGATTAACTGGGGAGGTGGGGGTCTAGAACATTTTGGACTTTCAATAACAAACATAATAGGTGAATTTTTAGGTTGGGTGTCATTTAAGTTGGCTAAGCATTGGGTATTTTCTGGGATATATAAAATTTTCAGTACTAAAATTGGGTCAGACCTGGGCCAATCAGGGCAGTTGATCATCCTTGGTATCATGATGGGCTACGGGAGGAAAAGGGCCAGTCTGCCTCCTGCTTATCTCATCTTTATGGGATGCTTCCTGAGCTGGGGAGGGGTAGAGGAGAGTAAAATGGCACAGCCCAGGGACCTGGGCATTTGGGGAGGGTCTTACCTGGGGTAAGTCTCCCTGTAGATGAGTGTGGGGCAGAAGAGGAAGTACAGGTAACTGGAGAAACTGGGGGCCCAGGTGCTCTTACCTGGGGAGGAATGAGAAAAGGTGTGAAGGCAGAGAGAGGTGAGTGGCAGCTGGTGGGATTGGTGAGGGGAGAGATGGATAAGACAGATAGATGGGTGAGGGACTGGATTCAGGGGCTGGATGGGGGTTGGGGCTAAGCTGAACCTGCTCTTTAACACCCCCTTTTCTGGGAGAAATGACCCAAACATTGTATGCACATATGAATAAAATAAAAAATTAAAAAAAAAAACAAAACAAAAAAACCCTTTTCTGGTGCAGGATTTTCTGTGGCCAGAGCTTCACTTGGCAGACTTCAGTTCCATGACCCATTCTCCGTCCTTTCCTAGCCTGACTTCCTCATGTGAGGTTTGAAAGACAGACTGGGCCTGGGAACAGGACAGCGCCAGAAGTCCTGGGTGACCAACACCACAGAGTGCAGCTGGAGGCCAGAGCTGTGTCTGGTGGGCCACACTGACTCCAGAAGGCAAGAGCTTTTATGAGAACCCAGCAATTGCTGGTTTCATTCAATCAGCCAAGAGAAGTTCATCACGGGGACAGAAGAAGGCCTCACCTTCTCTGGCAGAAAGGGTCCCAGGTACAGCCTCTCTCAGGAAGGAGTAGCTTTTCATCAGGAGCCTGACCTGAGGTAGAATGGAAAGGAAGCCAAGTTGCTGTGTGGCTCTGAACAAATCACTAACCTCTCTGTGCTCTTTTTTACCACAGACAGGCATAGGGTCTGTCTGGGCAGAGCCTGTACTTTCTCTTTTTGTTGAATTGCCTTATAGCCTAACACAGACAGCTGCTGGGAGGAAAAGTAAAGACGGAGGAGGGGCAGGAGAAGTCAGGGCAGAATCTTCATCCAATCAGCCCCCAGGGGACCCTGTTGCAGTCAGATCATTTGTTTAGCAGCCTTTTTTATTTACTTTCCTTGGGTCAAAGCAGACTCCACCCGTGCCAAAAGTGCTGCCCTTACAGGGGTCCTGCCCCTGCCCCTCCTCAGGACCAACCGTCTGCAGAAAAGGCCCAGTGGTCCTCCCTGCCCTGAAGCAGTGCAGGTCTCACCTGCTCAAAGACTAGCACGCAGCGGGAGGCCGGTGGAAGGTGATGCTCCCTAGCTATGTGGACCGGGAGGACGCAGAGCACTGAGACATGGATGGCCAGTAGTGCGCAGCCCATGCCTGCTCCCAGAATCCAGGTGCTGCTGGCTCTGGGCCTGGCCCACAGCCGCAGGGCCTGGTAGGGCACCAGGAGAGTGGACAGGAACATAGGGACCCACGTCATCAGTGCCAAGGGCAGCTGCCCGAAGCTGAAGATCAGTAGGTCAAGCTCCAGCCCCAGCCTTGGAGTGGAAGAAGGAAAGACAAAGTAGACAAAAGTATTGCCCATCCTTGTCCCCTGCTTCTTCAGTCAGAGCTCTTTCCGCCCGCCCCCCCCACCCTTGGAAGTACTGGGGTTTGAACTCAGGGCCTCAAACTTGCTAGGCAGGTGCTCTACCACTTGAACCACTCTGCAAGACCTTTTTTGTGTTGGGTATTTTTTAGATAGCCACCCCAACTATTGCCTGGGTTGACTTTGAACCATGATCCTCCTGATCTCTGCCTCCTAAGTAGGTAGGATTACTGGTACCTGGCTCTGAAGTGTTTTGATAAAGCTGTGTCTTGTTTATGAAACACCCCACAGCACACAGCTCTTTGGTTCTAATATACTTATGGATGTGTATGTACAGAAAATGATCTGGAGGAAAACTCAAAACTTAAAAATGTTTACTTCTATCAGGCGCTGGTGGCTCATGCCCATAATCCTAGCTACTTAGGAGGCAGAGATCAGGAGGATTGCAGTTCAAAGCCAGACCGGGCAAATAGTTCCGTGAGACCCTATCTCGAAAAACCCTTCACAGAAATAGGGCTGGTGGAGTGGCTCAAGGTGGAGGCCCTTAGTTCAAACTCCAGTACCACAAAAAAAGGGCTGGCGGAGTGGCTCAAGTAGTAGAGTGCCTGCCTGGCAAGCATGAGGCCCTTAGTTCAAACTTCAGTACCACCAAAAAAGCAAAGTGTATTTAAACTTTTTCTTTAGGAGGGGGAGCAGTGCTAGAGATTGAACCCAGGGTCTTGCACATGCTAGTCAAGGGCTTTACCACTGAGCTGCTATTTGAACTTTCTTTCTTTTTTGGCAGTACTGGGGTTTGAACTCGTGGTTGTGCTTGTGAAGCATACACCCTACCACTTGACCATACCTCCAGTCCTTTCCACTCTGGTTATTTTGGAGATGGGGGGCGGTCTCACTTTTTCATCTGGGCCAGCTTGGACAGCTATCTCAGCCTCCCAAATAGTTAGAATTATAGCAGTGAGCCACAGTGCTCAGCTCCTATTTGAACTTTGTATTGAGATTCGTATCCTTATAATACTCATATAATCAACAACAAAAATTTTACTCAAAGGAAATACTGCTGGACCCAAAGATCCTTGATTGTCTTCCATTTATAGCTCCCTAAGCCTGGTTTAGGGTGAGATGAGGGAATATGGGAATGCAGCCCTCTGAGGCTCATCCTCAGAATGGGAGGAAGTGCTCTGTGAGGAAAACAACATACCAAGGCACTGTGCATGTCTGTTATCCCCTCGAGATTGGGAGTGGCTCATAGACAGGGGTGAGGGCTGCTCCTTGCCTCTCAGAATACCCCAGGGCTGGTACTTAGTAGGTACAGAGGTTACTTGAATTGAATAGAGCTGACTCAGAAGGGAGGGAGGAGGTGTGCATGTGTGTACATGTGTGCATGTGTATATATTTTCCTGGAGGCAAGGTTACAACTGAAAATATAGCTGGCCCTGGAATGACAGGCCAGGGGCTATCCAAGGCTGGGGAAAGAAGGAATCCAAGAAGGAAGGTTGTTGAAAGCCATGTCCATGAGTAGCCAATAATCAGAGGGCCAGGGGCAGGTCAGATGATGGGAACCAGGGCTGTGATCTGATTGCTATACCTGTCCCAGGTAGGAGGGGCCTACCTGCCGCCATCAATGAAGTCGATGGCCAGGGTGCTGATGATGAAGACACACAGGCCGGCAATGAACATGTGGTAGATGGTGCGGAAATGCTGTACTTCCATCAGCTCACTGGAGGGAAGGGGCCCGATGGTCAGGGTGGGAGAGTCCTCGGGTCCTGGGCACTAGCTCAGGCACTGTACACAGAAGGGCACAGGCCTACTGATCCAGAACTCTAGCTAAGGGCTGCAGTGTGACTGCACTTCTCCTCTTGGTGCCTTGTCTTCCATAACCATATCCAGGGAGAAGCCCTCTCCAGATCCTCCCGCAAACCACCTAATACCTGGGCATGAGAACTGAAGTGTCTTGGACCCTTTGCTAAAGCTCTTTCTCTCCTTTTCTGTCCCTTGTTGTCACCCTTGACTTACTCAAGCAGAGACTTTCGGGTGATGAAAACTTTCCTCTTCCCCAGGGATGGCTCCCGTATCCTGAATTGAGACAGTTATTTAGTGTCAGGCCCCAGAGGAAGAAGGCAGAGGGCATAGGGCAGATCCATATGGAAGGTCAACTCTTGGGAGCTAGCAGGGGAAGATCATGGAAGGTGGAGGCCAGTGTCAGGAGGACAAGGCAATAAGAGGAGAAGAGGGAAGGCTGATGTCAGGGTCATGCATAGGCTAGCAAAGATGCATGCTTATGGCTCATGAGTCTTACAATGGAGGAGACCCTGAAGTCATGCCCCAGTCTTCTGGGTCCTCAGACTCACTTGCTCAAGGAATCTGCGGGAATGGAGTGCAGAGTTCTGTCTTGTTGGGAGTAGCATTTCACAGCCTCCCTCATGGCCCGATCCAGCAGCTCTACCAGCTGGCCCTGTGCTTGTTCCAGCAATTGAGTCTTCACAGCCTACAGGACAAAGCCAGGGCAGAGTCCAGTGTCCCTCCATCCATCCAGATATTCTTTACTCACCAAACATTTACTAAGCTTCTCTCTGGATCAGGCACAGCGCAAAGTACTAGGGACAGAAGGATGACATGGCCCTGTCCAGAGCTTCCCCAACAACTGATCTGGCTTCCTAGGGCAGCAGTGAGAATCAAGAATGACAACCAGAAGCCAGGTGTGGTGGATCACACCTGTAATCCCAACTACTCAGGAGGCTGAGACTGGATGATTGTGAGTTCAAGCCAGGCCTGATTAACACAGTGAGACCCCATATTAAAAAAAATTGTCAGAATTCTACCTAGGTCACCTCTGACCTCTAGACACACTAACGGGATGACTCCACTTTTGGTTCCTGCCCTGAGGACCTATGTTTCAAACTCCTCCATTTTAACCCTTAACCTGGCCTTTGAACTTGAGAACAGATCATCTTTTTTTTTTTTTTTTTTTTAAATTTATTCTGCCATATGTTTTATTTTTATTTATTTATTTATGGTGGTGGTGGTACTGAGGTTTGAACTTGGGACTTCACACTTGCTAGGCAGGTGCCCTACCACTTGAGCCACACCTTCAGCCCCTTGAGAACAGATCATCTTTAATACCAAGCCAGTCCTCCCCTCCTCCCTCCTGCCACCCCAGGACCTGTACATCTTAACTCTGACCTCTGAGGTCCCTCACCTCCATATGTTGGGTCCATTGCACCAAGTCTGGGGCTCTGTGCACCTCAGCGTTTCCTAGGAGGCGGAGTCAAAGGGCACATTCAAGGAGGAGGAGTTAGAGTTCTACAGATCCAGAGGTGTCCTCTGCCCATATAGTGCTTTCTGTATGCTTGACAGCCTCCCTGCCCCCAACCAGTCAGTATCAGGTATCACGGGTGGGGCAACTAAAAGGGGAAATTATTTCTGCAGGGGGTGAGGAGGCCATTGGCAAGAGGGAGCCTGATGACATTACTGGAAACAGGGCACCCAGGGAACAGGAAGCTACTCTACCCATCCTCTGTGGGTAGAGGGTCAGAAAGATAAGGCAAGGTCACCACTCTGAGTATCCCCTTTCCCCTCTATCTCCTGGCTGGTTGGTGTGGGGAAGAGGCCAGTGTCTGCCTTCCCTGGCCTCCCGGAAGCAAGACTGGAGTTAGACAGCAGGGGGCTCCTTCAATAATGCATCCCTACCCCAACCCTGCCCGAGCTTTATATGCTCTGCTCCCCTAGGAGGTCTCACCTTCTTCAGAGGGTTGCTCCTCCTGCTCCCCTCCCAGCCCCTTTCTGCTCCTCAAACGGGCCCCACTTGGCTCCATGCTGTGAGTCTGGAGTGGGCAGTAGGTGGCTGCTGTGCTCCCTCCTTTCCTTTACAGCCTGTCTGCTAGCAGAGCCCTTGTCCCACTTGGCTCAGCTGCTGGCTCCAGAGACTAAAGTCCTTTCAGGAGGAGGGGGCCTCAGAGCTCGATAGGTTATCAGAAAGCAGATCCTGGCTCTGCTCTGCTGGCGGTCACAGGGATGGCTGCAGTTCCTCAATCCCTGTCCACCACCCTGATGCCCAGCTCCACATCTGCTATCCTGCCACAGGAATGGTGCCCTGCACGACAGGAACGGGGACTTTGCCTCTCTGAGGCTTATCATCTAGCATGGCTCCTTCCAGTCCCTCTTCTGGCAGGTGAAGGTCAGGGAGGAGTCAAAAACATCTTCATGTATCAGTGCATTCAGCTTCCTGAGACCATGAGGCATGCGTGCAATAATACGCTGGTGTGGGCTGTGCTTGTGACACTTGCAGTGCTGTGGCCACTTCAGGAAATTCTGAGTGCCAGGGCCCCTGGCATCAGTTCTTCCCTCCCTGCTTGGGTTAGCATGTTGGCAGAATGGAGGCCAAACACATACTCATTCACCACTGATGGAGTGCCAGGTATTTTCACATACGGAAGGAGCAGGTGTAGACCTCCTGCTATCATTTATTTGCTGTGTAATTTCAGAAGAGTGACTCAAATTTTTTTAAGCCTCCTCTGAAAAATATGGGCCAAAACTTCCTATCTTATCAGTGGAGCACAAATAAGGTAATTCCGGTAAATCACACAGTTCAGGGTCTAGCTCAATCAATAACTTTTTTGTTTTGCTTCTGGAGGTACTGGGGTATAAACTCAAGGACTCAAACTTGCTAGGCAGGAATTCTACCACTTGAGCCACACCTCTAGCCCTTTTTGCTTTAGTTATTTTTCAAATAGGGTCCCCATTTTTTCCTCTCTGGGCTGGCTGGATCTCCAGTCTCCTGTTTAGTCTCCTGTGTAGCTGGGAAGACAGACACATGCTGCCATGCTCAGCATTTTTATTGGCTAAGATAAAGTCTTGCTGACTTTTTGCCCAGGTTTGCGTGGAAACTTGATCCTCCTGATCTCTGCCTCCTGAGTAGCTGGGATTATACACACAAGCCACCTCACTCTAGGTCAAGGGCTTCGAAAGTTCCTCTTTGCTGAGTCCTGCTGGGGATTAACTATTAACCTTTCCCCCTCCTTAAAATCCAAAAATCAGTGTTAGAAGTGTTAGAAGTCTGATGAAGGCCATGATCTCAGCATCTTCCAATCCCCCAACTCCTATTGGGTAGCTGGGTAAACCCTAAGGGTTTGAAGCCTGTGCCAATGGCTGGCTCCTCAATTCCAAGTGGAGTAGGAGGGACTGAAAGCAAAAAGGGAGAAATGCTACCAGTGGGCTGCCATGGGGTGGAGAGAGGGCCCAGGGCTTCAGAACTGTGAGAGGTGACACAGAGACATAGGCCAGAGATCCCCGATACAGTTTTATTAACACCCCAAGCCAACAACAATCTTTCTGACTACACATATAAGTACCCAGGAGTGAGGGGACAATGGGGCAGGGCCTGACGGTGGATTTTAGGGCTCAGAGCCCTTGAGTTGCTAATCACTCAACAGATAGCCCAAGATGACAACCCCAAGCTCTTGCCAGTGGCCCTGCAAGCACCCTCCCCCCCCACACACACACCCAGCTTTAGCCGCTGCTCCCAGTGGGGCAGAGGGAGCTTCCATCACCATCTGGAGACCCTGATAAGGGCTGGCCCATCCGATCCACACACCAGCAAGGACCTCGGCGCTGCCCCTGGGAGGAGCGACACTGCAGAGAGAGGCATACAGATGAGGGGCAAGGCCTGAACTTGCAGTAGGAGAAATGGGAGAAGACTCCAGAGCTTGAGTATGCAGAGACATCTGAAAGTTCCCTCAAGATGGTGGGGCCCCCTGGGCTCGCTCCCCTTAGTTTCTCCTTTTCACCTACTAAGTTATGCTCATTCTGCTAGGCCAGAGCAGTAGTTTTCAGTGGTTCTCAATCAACAGCACCAGCATCACTAGGGAATGTGTTTGAAAAGCATATTCTTAGGCACAGCCCAGACCTAATGAATCAGAAATACTGCAGGTAAGTAGGGCTCAGCCTTCTGTGTGTTCACGAGCCCCCCTGAAGATTACTAGTGCTCAAGTTTGAGTGCCATTGAGAGGCCATTCCCTAGGCTGGTTATTCTCTATGTCTGTGTGGCTCCTAGAATTGGAAGATCCTGAAAGGCAGGGTAGTATCTTTTCTGTAAGCCCCCCACTCCCACACACACACTCCCTTGTAGGAACCTTGTCCTGGGAAGGAGAGGAATCTTCTCACCTGCCGTTTCCGGTAGAAGCCTCGATGGTCACAATTAGGCACATAGAGGGTGTGAGCCCCTCGGAAGACCTCAGTTTGGAGTTGCTGTAGCACTGATTCAAGGTGTTTGCGGCAGGGGCCCTGGAGGAAGGAGAGCAGGTGGCTCAGAACCCCACCAAGCCTGCTCCCAGGACTGGCATGGGAGACTTCCCCAAGCCCATGGAGAAGTCTCTGATGGAAGGCTCCAGGAATCCCCACCCCTCCTGCTTCCTAGTAGCCCTGGACACACCATCTCAGCATCTTGGACACCCCCAGAATGGGGCCGGGAGTGAGTGTTGGAGGTCCCTGGATTTCTTGGATGATCTCGATGGTTCACATCCTGTGGACGGGTGGTGCCTCCGTGGGGTTTACTCTCCTTAGGATTCTCCTCTGGGAGGAATGGGAGAAGAAGCCAGAAATCAGCCAGATGCCAAAGATCAGACCATGTAGAGAAGATCCTTGCCTCTATCCACTGAAGTGAGAACAACAGGGAGAAACTTTGAGGAGCGTTAGAACCTGGCTCCTCTGTAACCTTATCTTGGCCATAGTTTCTCTAACAAACAATTATAATACATCTCCTGACAATACTCCCCAGAGTAATCTTAAAGTTTATAAGGGAGAAATATTTTGGAAAGCCCAAATCTAGTACAAATACAAAGCACTATTGGTTAATTTTGAGGCTTTGGGCAGCAGGTGAAAAAAAAGCTGGCTGTTCCACCAGAGGCCAGAAGGGTGTGCACCAAGTCAGAGAGATGGAGCAGAAGAGCAATGGATGTAGGAGGGAATCAGCAGGGATCCAAGTGGAATGTGTGTCCCTGCTGTGACCCAGATCTCAGCCCACCCCTCCCAGGCCTGAGATGTGGTTACTTTGGGGTCACTGCAGTGGGGACCTCTCCCTGCTGGCCCCCCGCAGCTCAGTCCAGTTCAGCCCCAGTGGTTCCAGGAGCATCTGTGGATTCAGCCCTTAACCAGGATGGATTGAGACAGGTTAGAAAAGGAGCAAGGAAATGAGGGGTTGCTCCTGGCTCAGGAGAGTTTTGGGGGCGCTTGGAGAGAGCCCAGGACTGGGAAAGGGTGAGGAAATAAGTCAGGGGTAGGAAAAGGCAGAGAGGGGAGCATGCACTACTTGGAATTTTCCCTAGCTGTAAAATTAAATGGGAACCCAGAAGGAATAGTCCATGCCTAGGGACAAGCTCCCATCTGCCTTTTACTTCCAACCTAACAGCCATTTCCTCTGCAATCCTCTTATCCTTCTTCCTCAGGGTAACCCACTCTCCTCAGACCTTATCCCTCATTCCCAGCATTTAGCACCTAACCATGACCATGCTCCAAACTGCTTTCTCCAACCCACCGAGATCCCAGATCACCTCCTTCTAAGAGGACCCCTAGAAGCTTGGACTGAAAGAAACTCCAAATTAATTTCTCATCCCTTTCTTTGAAAAAAAATCAGAAGCTCAGATGCCTTTGGGGTGGGGGCAGTTTTCACCGCCTGCCCCCTCCCATCTCTCTGTTGCCCCCCATCTTTCTAGTACTGACTCATTTCTGTCCCACCCACTCAATGACTCAGCCTCCTATGCTCTTCCCTGGGGTAGGGTGGGGTAGGGAGGGTGGAGGGTTCTGAGCAGGTTTAAATCATAAGCCTGCGTTGCCAATTCCCTCTTTTCTACCTCTCCCTCCCGAGGCCCTGCAGGGCCTGCCCATTGTCCCCAGTTTGGTCTGTTACAGCTCCAGGCACCTTTCTACACATCAAGTTCAGGTGCTTCCAACTGCCATTGGGAGGACAGCAAGAGACATTTCTGTGCAGACAGCATTTGGGAATCTGAGGTTCTATTCCTTTCCCCACGTGGAAGCAAAATCCTGGTCTTGCGCAGCTCAGACATCTGGGTTGAGGAATCTGGGCCTGCAGGTACACCTGGGATAGCCCTAAAGTCCTCCCTCCTCCCTTTTTCCGCACATACCTTTTTCTCTTAAGGGAAATGGAGTAAAAAAGAAAGTTGAGCGCTCAAACACCTCCCAGCTTTATACCCCTGGTCCCCTAGTCACATCAAACCTTCTAGCCGTACCCTGCACTGATTTTTTTCTTCCTCCAGACGTACACCTCAAGTTCTGGGAGCAAAAAGCATCAACATGCAGGACCCTGAGGCTTGCAGGGCAGCCCACTCACATCCCTCCAGAACCCTGCGGGGTCAGACTCTGGTCTCACGTAGGCGGGGCGCGGACTCACCCGAGGGCGCGCGGACCGGCTGACAGCGACCCCGGCCCATCAGCAGCGCCCGCAAAGGCGCTTCCTCGTCCTGGGACGGCTGGCACTGAAGTCCTGGGGTGCAGTTAGGGGTGTAGACCCCGCACTGCTGCCCCTCTTTCCTAACACAGCCCCCGGCTTCTGCACAGCCTTCTTCCGTCGGCCCTCCATCCTCCTCCTCCACGCAGCCTCCGGGACAACCCGCCTGTACCCCCTGCCCGCAGCCTGGGCACCGCGCCAAGGCGCCTTCTGGGCGGGCAGCGAGCAGCAGAGTTAGCAGCAGCAGTGGCGGCAGCAGCCTATAGGGGGTCATGGTCAGATTTTTGCCCCTGTCCACTCCTTCCAGGACAGTCGTAGCGCAGCTGCTGAACGCTGCCGCCCCTCTGCCTTAAGTAGCCGTCGGTCAGGGGCCGGGCCCTTTAAGAGCCAGGTGAAGGGAGGAGGGGGAGAAGACAGAGGCATTCCCTAAACTGGGTGGGACTGGAGAGGCTCCCCCACAACCTGGGTCCTCCCCGCTCTTCTCTCCCCCTCCCTTCCCAGTTTCTGTTTACGTCCCAAATTGTTCTGATTTTTCTTGCTTTGTTCCTGGGAATCTCGCCCGGAATTTGGGAACTGTACAGCTGGCTGAGGAACTGCAGGGTGGGGAGCAGTGGAAGAAAGGAAGGACAGGAGTGGGATGCAGGGGGAAGCTGGAATCCAGTTAGTGTGCATGTGTAGGAAGATGGGGGGCCTACAGGTGCTCTGTGAGGAGTGAGAAGGTGTGTGTGGGGGGGCGCTAAAGTGAACTGAGAAGGGATGGTGCGTGGGGACAAATGTGAAGAGAGATAGATAATGAGGTCTTGGGTGAACCTCCTGCAGATGGGAGGAAGCAGTCCCAGGTAGAGAAGAGGAAGGGCAAAACCAAAGTCCCACTGAGATGTGTCTATGGAAGCCTAAGTGGGGGGAGGGGGATAAGATGGTGGAAGGGGTTGGGGGGAGTCAGGGATGAAGTGAGGAGAGGGTGGGGAGGAATACACCTTGAACAAACTCTAGGAAACCCTAGTATTGTGGTGGCAGGCATGTTGATTCTGGAAGGATCCGAGAGGGAGAATGGGCTGGACATCTGGGAAGTAAGAAACGGGTCTGGTCAGTTGAAATTATGTGTGTGGGGGGGGGGCATGGGCAAAGTTATGTTGTTGGAACAGTGGCCAGAAAGCTGACCCTACCTCTCCCTGGTCTCTGACCTTCAGGTTAGCCTGCTCTTACATTCCTCTACCTTCTCCAATTCTTTTGCCCTCCCCTCAATCATCTCTTGGGTTTTCTAAATTTCTTAGACTGTGCTGAGCCCTCAGGGGGTTGTGGAGAAGGATTGGTCTGAGGTTTCTGTCTCTGTCCGCCCACTTGCCTGTCCTTTCTCCATGGGTCCACGTCTGAGGCTTCCCGGGGCTGTGTCCAGCCCATCTCTACAAGTCCCGCCTCACAGGAGTAAGGAAGAGGTACTGTTTTCCTTTGGGGACTCACCCCGCCCACTTCAGGGTTATGCAACTGCCACCTCATTCTTTCCTAAAACAAGGGCTCTGGGCAGTGACTAAGTTTAAATTCTGGGCCCCCAAGCAAGAATGTCAGCAAGGGCTTCCTGAACTTTTAGGCAAATACAAAGTAAAAAGAACCTCACCCTATGCACCGCCCCTGGGCTACTCTGGGACCCTAGGATCTGCGTTTTTTGGAAGTGGTGTTTTGGCGTTGCCTGGAGATACTAGTGCAGATTGGATATGCAGGGAAGGGATGGGGTGGGTGATGGCTCTCCTCCACCAAGTTTCTGTGATCTCCTATTCCAGCCTCTGACCCTAAAGTGGGGAGTTTGTTTCCCTTTCCCAAACCTACAACACTGTTATTTATTTATTTCCCTGCACATGGTTCTGGCTATGGCCTTTCTCCTGGACTCCAGCTTGTTCCTCCTGAGTAAGATGAGAAAGACTGTGGGAAGCTGGGAAGAAAGAAATGGCTCCTTGCAGGGTTCTGGTGTGTGTATTTGGGTTTTTTGCCCGGGGTGTGGGGGGGGGGTTGGTGTTGAATCCAGGGCTTCCTGTTTGCTAGGCAAGTGCTCTACCACTTGAGTTCTTTTGTTTTTGAGATAGGGTCTCCCTAACTTTGTCCCTGTTTTGCTGGCCTTGAACTTGTGTTCCTCCTGCCTCCACCTCCTGAGTAGTTGGGATTACAGACATGTACCACCATATGTACACCATGTGCTCCAGTGTACTTTTTGAAAGTGTTTGTGCTCCTTTTCGGTAGATTATCTTGCAAAAAAATAAAAAACCCAACCCTCTCATAGCCTCTAACATTCACTCCTTCCCATTTCAATCCACCGCTCCCTTTTTCCCTGCTTGTGGCTCCCAGGCTCCCTCTGCTCTCTTGGTCCCTTTACAGTCTAAGGACAGTTGTACAATCCAGGACCACTCACTACCCTAGCACTGCTTCCCCTTTTTCCCATCCTTTCAGTGTGAATATTCAGAGTTGTTTGCCCATCCCTGCTGGGAACCTCACAAGTCTCCATGTGAGCTGAGGTTTTTGAACTCTGCTTTTCCTCCCTTTGGGATTTCCTCTGCCTTGGCACCCAGGGCAGAAGTCTGGAGCACATGGTGGGCACATGGGCCAGGCTGTGGGCCAAGTGCAAGCCTTTATTTGTCCTTCTGGCCTCTACAAGCAGAGTTTACTGAGAAGCTGCTGCCTGGGCTGAGAAAGACTAACCAACTTGGGCTTTGACTTAGGCTTGTTCATAAATAAACTCCACCAGGATTTCCTCTTCCTGTTGCACGTTAAACTCTGTTCTCCTGCATGTCTCATGTCCCTTCAAATCCAAGGCACACCAGGTGTTGATTTCCTTTTGAGAACAAGAGGTAGAGGGAGGGCTGTGCCAGAGCATTTTCGGCTGTAAGTTTGAGAAGGAGGCTACAGGCCTGGGCAGAGAATGACATAAAAGCATGAGGAGTGTTATCCCATTGCTGCTTCAGGACACCCAGCATCAGGTAGAATTATGTGACATAGTCCACAGACAGGAGGACAGAGAAAGAAGATCAGTGACCAAGGTACGACAAGGCCAGAGCCGTGTCAGCCTGCTGGGGGCCCTAATGACCCCAGCGGGTCTCCAAGCTATTTTATGCCATCTGTTCCCACATACCCTCTAAACCTGTGGGCTGAATTTTGCTCTTGGTCATATGATTGTCTCCTCCTCAAAGGCTTATGGGGTACTCCATGCCCCTCCCCCTAGACCTGTGTTCCCATGTGGCATTCCTGGCCCTGCAGGCAGTGTCCCTGAGAACGCACTCTGATTCAGCTGGCTGGTTGAATCATCTTCCCTAGAACTCTGTCAGTTTCCCATTGTGGGGCCTGAATTGAGGTAAGGGGAAGTCAAGGTGAGGCATAATTGGCTTTTTGGAGGTAAATTCTTTCCTGGATCTCCAAGCTTTCAGCTCACAAGGATTAACCCCTTGCTTCATTCTGCCATGTCTTTCCCACCTACTTGGCCAGCAGAGGTCCTGTCTTCCTCTGAATTCACCCACATTATTGCATTGCTATTTTATGTTTTTGCATCTTATATTTGCAGTTAGGTTGTGATTTGGGAAACTCCAACCCCACCCCCTTTTTAATGTATGGGCCCTCAGCTTCTAACCCATGTAAGGAATTTGGAATTGACATGAGTAAGTTTTAGCATTTTTATGGGAGTAAAGGCAGTTCTAGGGGAGGAGGTGGAGAGAAGTAGGGGGGCATTGGAACTCCTCTGGAGGCTCCATCATTGCTCCTGGACTCTGAGCTAGAAATTCCAGGGAGTCTCTTGGCCTTCCCATCTCTTCAGCCCCTCACCTCTCTTTTCTTCTTCCTTTGCAGTGTAAAGGCTAGAGGCTGAGAGGCCCAGAATGTGGTCAGGGTTCAACAGGAGAGGAAAAACTACCCCTAGGATAAATCAAAGAGAGCTCCCCAGATAAATAGGGCTTTATAAGAAAGGCTGAAGAGAACAGGGGGTGAAGGGCAGCCCAAGAAGGAAAACAAGTTTGTGTAACAGATACGAAGGTGACGAGCTGGAGTACATGTATGCGCATGCTTGTATTATATGTTCTGCATAGATTCCAGTGCCCCAAGGATTTAGAGAAAGGAGAACTGGGAAGGGATCAGAGCATTTTTCTAGAGTGGGCCAAGGTCAGGGGATAGTTGGGAGTTTGGAATCATTTTTGAACAAAATGCAGTGAATGGGGATCTAGACTAGCTTTTTTTGTAATTAAATGAATAAAAGTATGTTCAATCATTCAGTAGATTCCCAGAGCACCTATTCATGCTGATATAAGTGGGAGATATGAATTTAAATAGGGAAGAATTGTGCTTCCAGGGAGCTTAATCCTAGTATTTGTCCATACCACATACTCCTCCTGCTCCCAACTCCTGGTTTTGCACGTGCTAGGCAAGACTCTACCACTTGAGTCACACCCTCAGAACCATACTTTTGAAAAAAATTAAATTAACTCTTACATAAAAGTGCAAAAATTGTACATCAATGAGGTAGAAAGTGGTTATTTCTCTGGTGGCACTGGGGTTTGAACTCAGTGTCTCATGGTTGCTAGGCAGGCACGATACCACTTGAGCCACTCCACCAGCACTCCAAGTGATGTTTTAATACACATATACATTGTGTAAATAGCTTAAAAATATCATCTACCTCAAACTTCTTTAAAATAGCACTTCTTTATTGCAAAGAATATTCAAAATCCTTTTTTCTAGCTTTTTTTTTTCCACCCTTTTGTGGACTGGGGTTTGAACTCAAGGCTTCCTGCTTGTGAGGTAGGTGCTCTATTTTGATGGTGGTACTGGGATTTGAACCCTGCTTACTAGGCAGGTGCTCTACCACTTAAGTAACAATGCCAGCCCTTTTCTAGCTTTTTGAGGTATACAATACACAAACTATATTCATTAGCACGCAAAGAATACTTAAAAAAAATCAACTAGTGGTGCTGGGGATGTAGCTCAGTGGTAGAGCACTTGCCTATCATGCCTGAGGTTCTGGGTTTGAGCCCTTCCACTGGAAAAAAAAATTAACTGGAGCCCAGTGCCAGTAGCACACGCCTATAATCCTAGCTACTCAGGAGTCAGACAGAGATCAGGAGGAACACCATTTGAAGCCAGCCTGGGCAAATATTTCCTGAGACCCTATCTTGAAAAAACCCAAGACAAAAAAAGGGCAGATGGAGTGTCTCAAGTGGTGGAGTGCCTGCCTAGCAAGCATGAAGCCCTGAGTTCAAACCCTAGTAACACCAAAAAAAAAAAAAAAAAAAAAAAAAAAAAGTTAGCTAGGGTGCCAGAGTGTTCTGTTCTGGGATAGAATAAAAAGTGTAACAAGTTAATATAACTGTTACACATTTATAACATAAACACACTGCAGGGGGTGAGAAAACAAAAAGGAACTCTGGAAAAATATTTTGACTGGAAACTGTCAGGGACTAAATATAAA